CAGGGAAAAAGTGACAGTGACCTTAGCCACCCCCCGAGGGGCGGGCGGGATGCCTGCATAGCACACCAGGAGTCGCAGGGGGTTGCAGGGGCAGGGGCAGGGGCAGGGGCAGGGGCAGGGGCAGGGGCAGGCATGGGGTCACACCACCGCCGCTCAGCCACCACCAAGCCAAGCCAGGTGGCTAGCGCCACCCAGCCTGCATGCGGCACCGTCCCATCAAGTGCGGCAGTGGCTGGAGGCGGCGCCACCCCACCCCACCCCCCCAGCCAGAAGCGGGCGCAGGCAGCGGCGGCGGCGGCCCAGGCCTGTCACCCTGTCGCCCTGTCGCCCTGTCACCCTGCCACCCTGTCAACCTGCCACCCTGCCACCCTGCCACCCTGTCGCCCTGCCACCCACCCTCCAGCCTGAAGCTGCCCAGCATGTTGTTGTCCTCCACCTTGGCCCGCTCCCCCTCGTAGATGGCGATCTCCAGCTGGGGCAGGGCAAGAAAGAAAGGAGGAAAAGAAAGAGAGTGTGATGCGTTCAAGCTGTGCCCAACCGACGGCCGCTGGATGGTGCGCTCCGGCAGCCAGGCAGGCCAGCTGCAGCAACCTGCCGGCTGCGTGCTTGGCTGCTGGGGTGGTGGTCCCTGACCAGCACAGCAGCCGGCTGGGATGCAGCGCCAAACCCCACACCAGCACCCTCAACAACCACCACCCTCGACCCTCAACCACCACCCACCGAGGTCTGGTTGTCGACGGAGGTTGTGAAGTCCTTCTCCTCGTGCAGCGGGATGGTAGAGTTGCGCTTGACCACCCTGGAGGCGATGCCACCCTCTGCGGGAGGTGCCAGTGGGGATGAGAAGGCGAGGGAAGCGATGTGCAGCGTCAGGGTCACAGGGAGCAGGAGTGGCCGGTGCAGCGGGCCAAAGGGGCAGAGGGCAGTGGCGCAGGAGCAGGAGCAGCGGCCCGCGGCAGGGGTTCGAAGAAGCAGGGCGGGAAGACGAGAAGGCACGCGAGGCAGGCGAGGCAGGTGGCGTGGCCGCCTCGGCTGCCCCTCCCTCCAGCCGTCGCTGGAGAGGTACGCGGCACGCTGCAGCCTTGGCATCCTGCCTGACAACCAAACAGGCCCGGAGCTGCTGGCCGCTGCGCCCTTGCTGGTTGCGCAGGCGCCCTACACAGACCCTGCTGCAGCACGAGAAAGGGCGCAGCGGTAGCTGTCGCTCTCTTAAGGGCAGCGGTGCTGGCCGCCCGCTAAACGCCAGCGGCAGGGGCTTGATCGTTGCCAGACGCCGCCATCCATCATGCTCATCAGTAAACAAGCCCGCAACCACCCAACCCTGAACCCAGTGCCCTACAGCGAGCAGTTCCCATCTGGGGCCTGGCGCCGGTGCTTCCTGCGACTCCGTGCCCCGCTGTGCGCCGGTGCAGGCCGCAAGCCCGCAGCAGGCCACGAGAAAAAGAAGACGCAGCCTTGAGCCATGGCCCCGCCTTTCAATGACGAGCTGTCGACTGCCCTCACACCCATCCCACACATTCAGGCCAGTGATGTGAGAGGGCGTGCAACAGAGTGGCAGCGCGCTGCTGTGCACCCGGCTGGGCGGCTGCGCAGCCGGCACACAGCAGCGCTCTTGCCCACATTTTCAGCACACCCCTCTGAGAGGCCCTCAATGGTGAGAAGCACACCCACAGCCCTCCCCGCCTGCCCGCAGCGAAGCCTGCTCGCGGGCATTCCATGCATTCACGGCGCTGGCATAATGGGGCGTGCAGAAGGCGAGCGATCGCTGCTGTGAACCTCGCTGGGCGCAGGCGCAGCCCGCCTGGGCCGACAGCAGCTCACCGCTTCCTCTTCGGCAAACCCCTCTGCCAGGCGCTGAATGGCGGGACACCCCCTGAGCGCCCCAACCTCCTCTCCCCTGGGTGCATGCAGCAGCAGGGGCCCCAGCTGCTGGGCAGCTTCTCAGCAGGGGCTCCTGGGCCTGCTGCCCCGCTCACTGGTGGCAATGCCTAGGCTGAGCGGCGTCACATCCAGCAGCAGCAGATCGGTCACCCGCTCGTGCCGCTCTCCCGTCATGATGGCAGCCTGCAGTACACCGGGGCAGTACAGCAGCGGTACGGCTTTGCAGCACAGGTGAAGTCTGTTGCTCCAAGGTCTCCAGAAGGGGGCAGAAGGGGGCCAGGCAGGCACCGCTTGAGAGTCCCGAGGGTGGCAGCATGCGCCCGCCCACCTGCACGGCGGCTCCATAGGCCACTGCCTCATCTGGGTTGATGCTCTTGCACAGCTCCTTGCCCTGGAAGAAGTCCTGCGGGCGGCGGCCAGCATGCACATAGTCGGCAGTATGCCAGGTGGCGAATGGCGGTAAAGTACGCGGGCGAGCTGTCAAGCTGGGCGCCGATCAGCTCACGAGGCAGGCAGGGCATGGGGCTGGCAGAGGAGGCGATGCCAAGGCCATATCGAGTGGGATGCAGGGCGCCGCATGCGCACCCAACCCTCAAGCTTGCCCAGCCCGGCGCACCTGCAGCAGCTGCTGCACTTTGGGGATGCGGGTGGAGCCTCCCACCAGCACCACATCATGCACCTCGCTCCTCATCACACGAGCATCCCGCAGCACGCGGGCCTGCGGCGGAGCAGGCAGGCGGCAGGCGGGCAGGCGGCTGGTGGCTGGCATGCAGGTCAGGCATGGTGGCAAGCAGCGGGATGCTCAGGGGAGCACATCCGTGCGGCTGCATGCCAGGAGGAAAGAGAGCGCGTGCGCGCAGGCATGCAGCGGCGTGCGGGTGCGACAGCCAAAGCATCCGCAACAGCGGCCAGGTTCCGGCCCATGCACACCCCACCGCCACCACACACCACAGGCACCACGCACCACGGGCTGCAGGCACGCCTCAAACAGGTCTAGGCACAGACCCTCAAAGCGGGCACGGGAGATGGTGAGGGTGAAGTCCTGGCCTGCATGCGCGCAGCCTCAGGCGGCGGGGAGAGGCCACGGCAGGTCGGGGCATGGTCGGGGGTGGCATGACCGCGAGCAGGGAGGTAGAACAGGCGGGCGGGCAGCTGCGCCAGGTGGAGAAAAAAGGCGTGCAGCCCTGGAGCCGCCACGTCCAGCCGCCAGGCAGCCGCCGCACCCAGCCAGCAAGGCATGGCGCCCGCCGCAGCGGCCCCATTCACCCTCGAACAGGCCGTCCAGGGCCAGGTCAGCGGTGAGCCTGGAGGAAAGCGCGATCTTGGCTCGCTCGCACTCGGTGCGCAGGCGGCGCAGCGCTCGGGCGTTGCCCCTCAGGTCCAGCCCCGTCTGCCTCTGAAACTCCTGCACAGGCAGGCAGGGGGCGTGGAGGGGCGAGGGGTGGGCAGAGGAGCAGGTGGGCTGGCAGGGACGTGGCGAGGCAAGCGGCAGGCGAGAATGGGTGGCCGATTGATGGATGTAGGGAGGGAAGCTGGCTGCTGGCAGCCGGCAGCCGGCATCTGGCACCACGACGAGAGGAGCGCCAGCACTGGCAGTGAGGCGGTGCTCCGGCAGGGGCCACGCGCTCCTCCAGCGGCAGAACAGCAGGCGTGGTGCCTGCTTGTCTCCCGCCACAGAAGCGCCGTGAACCTGCCCAAGCACCTCCTCACGGCGCTGTCAGCGCCGCCAATCCTCCCAGCGCGCAGTAGCCCGGCCCGGCGAGCAGGCCACGGCACGCATCCCTTGCGCCAGGCGTGGAGCCCCCCAACGGCAACACACTGGCGGCCAGGCCGCCGAACACCTGGGGGGCAGGTGGCAGGCGCACCTCAGCGCAGTACGCCGCCAGGCGGGAATCGAAGTCGGCGCCGCCCAGGTGAGTGTCGCCGGCTGCAGGGGTTGTAGGGGCAAGGGGGGCCTGGGGAATGGGGAATATTGTTATCAATGCCATGCGGTTGGTGAGCGAATCTGCCCCCACACAGGCGCACACCCAGCAAGCTCACATGTGGCCTTGACCTCAAACACCCCATCCTCAATGCTCAGCAGCGACACATCAAAGGTGCCGCCGCCCAGGTCGAAAATCAGCACGGTGCGGGCGCTGCGATCCTCCTGCGAAGGCAGCAGGACAGCGGGCAGCAGTGGAAGTTTCAGCCGTGTGCTAGGGCAAGGCTCGGGGCGCCCTGGAAGGGGCAGCCTGCAGCCGTCAGTTGAGGGCGGTTGGTGTGGGAGGTGGGCAGGCACCCGCCCATGCCTCTCTCGCTTCCCCGGCCGCACTAAGCCTGGCGGCCGTACCTGGGTCGCCTTGTCCAAGCCATCTGCAGCGCAGCAAAGGTGGGGGCGGCAGGGCGGTGGCGCGTGGCGGTACCGGGGGGCGGTCGCGCTGCTGCACCCCCAACAGGGCAGAAGTGCTCCCTGCCCTTGCCCTCCCCACCACCATTCTGGGCCCCTCCCTGTCTTCAGCCAGGCAGCCGCAAACCTCACAGGCGATGGCGGCGGCGGTGGGCTCGTTGATTATGCGCAGCACCTCCAGCCCCGCGATGGTGCCAGCATCCTGCATTTCGGGCAGGCACATTTCGGGCAAGCCGGGGCAGGCAGGTAGGCAGGCAGGCAGGCAGGCAGGCAGGCAGGCAGGCAGGCAGGCAGGCAGGCTCCTGTTGTTTTCTGCAGGGGGAGCCGCCAACCTTGGTGGCCTGGCGCTGGGCATCAGAGAAGTAGGCAGGCACTGCGCTCGGGGGCAGGCGAGGCGCCAGGGTCAGCGCAGGCAGCAGGTGACGATCCGGGGTTTGTGTACGCACAAGCGCTGCGCGGCCCTGCCAGCAGGCGCCGACCATGCTGCCATAACCAGGCCAAGGCAGAGGCTGCGCAGCGGCGTGCAGCCGACGGCAATGCCCGGGCTGTTTACAGGCTCCTCGCTGGTCCAGGCTGCCCCCCACACATGGCGCGCCCCCCCCCTCCACACACCCACCCACCCACCCACCCACCACACACAGCCTGGTCCCTCTCACCCGTAATCACCGCCTGCCTGACCTCCTCCCCCAGGCCTGCCGCCGCTATGGAGCGCATGTGGGACAGGATGAGGGAGGAGACCTCCTCGGGGCTCACCCGCCGCAGCTGGCCGCGCTGCCGCACTGCAGCAGCGCGTGCGTGCTTGTGTGTGTGTGTGTGTGCGTGCGTGCGTGCGTGCGTGTTTGCATGTGCCATGGTGGTATGGCCGGGCCAGGCAGCCAGCAGGGGCACACTGCCGTCTTGGGTTCACTTTTCACCGCCGGTTCGCAGCGGCGCCCCAGGCGCGCACCTTCTATCAGCGGCTTGTCCTCCTCGCTGCCCACCACTCGGAAGGGCAGGCTGGCAATGTCTGCCTGGACGGCAGGGTCTGGTGGCAGGGCGCAAGGGGAAGAAGTAGAGGGAGGTGGGAGCGTGGATGAGTGGCTTAAGGAGCGAGCCACAGGGAGGGAGGGAAGGGAGGCAGGGAGGCATGCAGGCACTCGGCGGCCAGCAGGGCCCCGCAACAGGGCTCCCTGGGAGCAGGCACCCGCAGATGAGGCCAGAAAAGCAGGCGGCGCAGCCCTGCGCGGCCGGCCGTGCCACCGCTGCCGCCCGGCACCTGAGAACCGGCGCCCGATGAGGCGCTTGGGCTCTGTCACCGTGTTGTACGGTTTTTTGGCGGCCTGGTTGCGAGCTGCCTCGCCCACCAGGCGCCCGCCCTCTGTGTACGCCACCATGGAGGGTGTGGTGCGGTTGCCGGCATCGTTGTCCAAGATGCGCACCTCGCTGCCCTGCCACACACCAACGCAGCTGCAGGGAGGGAGGGAGGCGGGAGGCGGGTGCGGCGGCCGTCCAAGGGGCGGTGGTCGGGCACGGTCCAAGGCGCGGACGGCTGAGGGGGCTGGGCAGGCGGCGGTGAAGCAGGCCGCCAGTGCAATTAGACAGCGCAAGCCACCCCATGCCTTTTGGGAAGGCCTGCAGCCCTCACCTAAACGTCGTGCCCAGGTCGATCCCCACAGCTGGCATTTCGGCTGGATCAGGAGCTCCCAGAGGAGCCAGCGAGCAGCAGAGAGGATGAGACAACCTCGATCAGAGGGTGGGAAGGCCAGGCCAAATTGTACTGCAACGGCGGTGCGCGGCGCAGTTGGAGGCTCTCATCTCAACCTCCTAAACCTGAGCGAGCAACACCGCCCTGGATTCACGTCATTGTTCACACACAGCATGAATTTGTACACGAATTGGGGAAGCAATTGGGAGGCAGAAAAGCAGGAAGAATACAAACAGGAAGGATACACGGGGCAGTACAGAGTGAGAGGATTCCTCGCAGGACGCGGTCGTTTCAGCTGGGCTGGGCGCTGGGCGCGGCCGAGAGACAATCCGGCGAGTAACAGGGCATGCATTGAGGTGAGGTTGCCGCCCAGCGCCGCAGCCGCAGCCGCAGCAGGCTATCCGCCGCGCTTGGCGGCGCGCAGCAGCGGGCCGACGGCAGTGGGGATGCGCAGCAGGGCGCCGCCGCCCACCATGTCGGTCACGTGCCAGCGCACGCCCAGCACCGAGCGCTGCAGCTTGCGCTTAAGCAGCTCCGCCTCCAGAAGCTCAGGCTGGCGGCGGCGCTGCAGCAGGGACAGAATCTCCTGGCGGCCGGCTGCGGGGCAGGCGCGCGCAAGGGGAGCGGAATGGGGTGTCAAGCGTCTGCGTGCGCTGTGAGGGAGTCGGTTGCAGGGCACGATCGAGCAAAAGGGAGGCGCCATGCACAGCCTGCCCAGCAGCCTCGCCTGGCCCTAACAAGCCCCAGCCCCAGCGGCGCTGCCCACCTGCCACGCTGCGCACGGCGGCTCCCGCATTGGGCATGCTGAAGAGGTATCCATCGGGCCCTCCTGTGTGCCGTGTGAGCAGGCCTTGGCTGAGCAGCAGCGACACATGCGGCTCGCCCGCTGCCGCACCTGCCGCGTCCGCCTGCCGCCGCGGCTGGCCGGGCCTGCACCACGCTGGGTGGCCACAGGCAGGGCTGGGTGAGAGGCTGCCAGCTGGATGCGCTTCAAGAGAGGCTAGGCAGGTCGTCAAGAAGAACAGGATGTAAGGTGGTGTGGGAGTCTGAGTGTGTGCCGGGCCACTGACACAAGCTGCCACACGTGCAGGCAGCCGTGCAAAGCAAGGCCAGGCAAGGTCGTTGTCGGCGCTGTGATTGTCGCAGCGGAGGTTAAAGGGCTCCGCTGTGGTGATTTGAGTGCCGCAGGCAGGCAGGCATGCAAGGGGTGAGTGCACCTCGAGCCAGGTTGTGCAACCGGCAGGGCAACAGGCGGCACCCGGACCAGAAACCCACCTGGCGGGTGGCGCCCCCGACAGCAGCTGCAGCAGCTCTCCATGTGTGACCATGACCTCGGTACAGGCCGGCAGCACCCGCTCCGCAAACCAGGCAAACGCTTCCAGCGCGCCCGCGGCATGCCCCGCTGCGTTCCGGTCGCCGCCGCCGCCGCCGCCATGTGGCTGCTGCTGCTGCTGCTGCTGCTGCTGGCTGCGTGCCGCCAGCTCCTCCTTGCACCGCTGCACCGCTGCCACATAGTCTGCTGTCAGCATCACCACACACTCATCGCGGCTGGCGGGCAGCTGCAGCAGGCGCACGGTGTTGCTGCGGCGCAGCTCCTCCAGCTGCCGGTCTGCCGCTGTGCGGTCCGCCAGTACGCTGTACAGCTGCGCGCAGGTGGCAAAGGGCGCCACACCGGCCTGCAGGGCGAGCGCGGGAGGAGGGGTGGGCACAGCAGCGATGGTGTAGAGGCAAGCAGCGGCGGCAGGCGGCGGCGGCAAGGTCCACGGCGGCACATCTGGGCTCACCACTGCGGGGAACCGGGAGTTGAGCAGCTGCAGGGCCACCAGGGCGTCGTTTGGCAGCGCCTCGGGCGCCGCTGGCTCGGCTGCAAAGTCGTGCTCAAAACTGGCGGTGTCGGCGTGGCCGGCGGGGGTCTCAGCAGGCTCCTGCTGATTGGTTGCGATCGGTGGGGCAAGCCGTCTGCGTTTGGGGGGCGGGGGAGGGAGGGTGACGATCTTGGACATGGCGCGGCTCTGGCTGGCCTGCGAGACCCTCGATCAGGCCATCGGAGGCAAACGAACAGCTTGGAACGTAAAAAACCGCTTCCTGCGACGCGCTGTCCCCGAGTTTTCTTCTCCTGCGGATAGGCCCAATCAGGTGCACAAGAATGATGGAATCACCCTGTCTGCACCATCTGCACGCACCCCGGGGTTCCAGCGAGTCACCAGTACAACCAGACAGGATGCAGGCCACCCTCAGCAGCGTGAATGGTGAGGGCGCATCTGGGTGACGCTACCCCTCGGCGTTCCGTGTCTCGGCCGGGCCTCAAACCCGCGTGCTGGGGCACAGCAGGGGCCAATGGAGCCCAGAAGATGCCGTCTTGGCAGCCCCGCAGCGCCAGGCGGCCGGGCGCCGCGCTCCCGCCCGCCACCCGTTGTAGTGCCGTCACAAAGCTTCCCTGGGCAGCCCAATGCGGCCAGAACAGTAACCCCTTGCTGCTTCTCACCCTGTGCCATCGCAGGCCTGGCCGGCACCCGCCTGGCGGCTCGCCGCAGCACCCGCGTGCAGGCGGCCCGCGCCTCTGTGCGCGTGCAGGTGCGCCGCCACAGCCGCAGGGTGTGGGCAGGCCACGCCAGCAGCGCGGCTGCTTTCACGCAGTGAAATGATATGGCGGAAGCGCAGATCGCAGCCGCTGGAAACCCCGGCCCGCAGCTGCCCGTGCCGGGTGCACACACATGATGCAAGGCGCTCACGCGACGCTTACGCTCTGCCTTGGCCTGCCCACGCCTCCCCGCTGCCCGCAGGCTGCCTCCAGCGGCTACCAGTGGCTGAACAAGGACCCCGTGGCCTTCATGGCCGGCTTCCTGGGCTGGTTTGCGCCCTCCAACATCGCCGTGCCCGCCTTTGGCAACCAGTCCCTGTTTGGAGCCTTCACCAAGTCCATCGGCGAGGAGCTCGCGCACTTCCCCACCGTGAGCGAGGGAGGGAGGGGCATCCGGGTGGCCAGCGCGTCCCCTGCTTGGCTGGCCGGCTGGCCGGCTGCGCAGCCTGTTTCGGCGCCTGGCGGCCTATCGACCGGCTGTTTGTTCTCTCCCTGGAATTTCTGGTCTCTCACCTGCGACGGCCCGTTGCTTCGGCTCTTTGCAGGGCCCCGCTCTGACCGACGACTTCTGGCTCCTGATGGTGACCTGGCACATGGGCCTCTTTGCGTGCCTCTTCTGGGGCCAGATCGGCGTGCAGGCGCGCAAGCAGGTGCGGAACAACACACCCGAAAACTCGCCACTGCAATTCTCTCCGAATGGCGTGCTCACATTCCCAAGGCATCTGCAACTGTGTGGTTCACAGAGGAACACCTGCGCCCCGCCCCTTCTCCGATATGCAGGGCTACTTCTGAGCGACGCAGCCCCCACCCACGCGGCCGCAGCCGTGCCGCAGCAGCAGCCAATTTTGCGCCCATGAGAAGAGCAAGCAACCTCGAATTCATCACCATCACTTGTGTATGTGGCCCTCTGTTGTAACATCGCATACGTTGCGGCTCTGTGCCGTCAGCGAGCGAGCGTCGCGGGCAGCGAAAGCGGGCGGGTCGTGTGACGGACTGCCGTAGCATGGCAGCGGGGGGTCACAGCAGCCTCACATGCTGCAATGGGCTGGAGCTGGCTGTCCTTGACGCCACGATGGCTCAAGCTCGGCCAGGCCCAGCTTCTGCCGCCGGCCAGGTGGCGCGCTGTGGCGGCCCGGCTGACGGAGCTTCCCCATGGTTTGTCGCCTGCCACTCCTGCGCGATCAACCAACCCCAGGCTGCTGTTAGAGCTGTTTGGAGAGGTCACCGCCTCCTCAAAGTCGCTGCCTGCCCGGCAAAGCTAACGCGTGAGGTGCACACGCCGAGTGTGGTGCCGCAGTGCTGCCCGCTTGCACCTCCAGCCGTCTGGATACCTAGTGGCGTTGCCGCACCGCTGGCGTCGCGCCCGCTCGCCGCCGCCGCGCCCCTCGCCGCCGCACTGCTTGCTGCCGCCGCCGCTGTCGACCCTGCTGCCATCTTACCCAATCCTCCCCTCACGCTACAGGTTCAGATGCCCTGCCCACTCCGCTTCGTGCTGGCGGGAGTGTCGGCAGCCGTGGCGGCCTGGCTGTTCTGCTTCTCGCTCGCCCCGCACACCGCTGAGGGGACACAAGCCAAGACCTCGGAGGTGTGCTGCCTTTGCGGCTGCCCCGCGCTGCTGCCTAACGGGCGCCCACAGACGTGCGGTTTTCTTTTCTTTTCACTCTATTGCTTGGTTGCATTGCTCACGACCTGCTCGCCGCCGAGCCTCTATACTGCCTGCAGGCGGGACAAAGGGGCGCCACGCATCGGCACTGGCTGCGGCTATTGCTCGACTTCTTCACCGGGCGATACCTGTACCACACATTGCTCAAAAGTCGAGCGCAGCCCGCCAAAGCGCCTGGCCAGCCCACAGCAGCAGCATGCAGTGGCGGGCGGCGGCAGCAAGCAGCGGCTGCGGGCGGTGGCGGCTGCCCCTTCAGCACCCTTGCCTCTCCTGGCGGTGGAGTCTGCCCTGCTCGGCGAGGAGGGCAGCATGAAGAGTAGCGCCGCTCGCTGTATTTGATTCTTCCTGACCTTCAATAATCGCTTGACACTGCACAGCTTGTTTCGCACCTTGGCGCCTTTTTGCAACACCAGTGCCGTGGGCAAGCAGACTTGCAGGGGAGGGTGCACAGTCACATGCAGCACGACTATTGCAGGCATGGCAGTGTCGTCATGGTCTGAAGCTGCGGTTGCCTGTGCAATTGTGTTGCCGCGGGGGACCCAAGCCATGGCGGGCACGCTGCTGCCGCCATGGCGGCACCAGTCACATGAGTGTTTGCGACTCGATCTTCCGGGCTCTGCCGCTCGCAATGGCGCACTGCTGCGCCGCTTTGTAACTCGCAAGGGCCCGCATTTCACGCAACCCCTGCGCCACTTGTCGGCAGAGTCGGCGCCAGGCAGCTCCAGCCGCTTGGCTTGAGCGCTTCGAAAGGGGGCTGGCTGCCTGTGGCCTCCACCGAGCGCCGCCCTGTGGCGCTTGGCCGCCGCCAGCGCTGCCGCCACCAGCGCCGCCAACGGGGCGACTGGCGCCGCTCCCTGGCGGCCCTGACGCGTCGCACGCATGGCGCCGCCGCCCTTTGACGGGTACGAGGAGGACCTGCTGGATGACGAGGTCCTGCAGGACGAGGAGGAGGAGTGGGTGGAGCTTGGGGATGAGGGCGCCCCCGGCTTCCGCGCCGCGCTCTTCAGCTCGCAGGCAGGCCTGTACGCCCGCTACCGACCAAACTACCCCCCGCACGTGAGGCCTGGCCTGGCGCTCGCCCCCCGCTGCCAGCCCTGCCCGCCTGTCCTAGCTTGTCGCTGATCATTCACCGGCTCTGGCTGCGGCCGCCGCCGCTGGCCAGAAGGCACCACCTTGCTCAGCGCTCCACGCTCCCGCCATGCATTTTGCCCCTTAAGGCTGCTGCCCCTGCGTTGCTCTTTGCCATTGCCCTGCCCTCCCGCCCCGCCCGCCGCAGGTCTACCAGCGCATCTACGACTTTGCAGAGGTGGCCAGCGGCGGCGTGCGGCCGGGGCAGGGTAGCCAGGAGCTGGCGCTCGACATCGGGTGCGGCTCCCCTGCCCCTACCGCAGCCTTCAAACCTTGCCTGCTGCTTGGTCACGCGCTCCGCTTCTGGCCCTCGCTTGGCTCCCTGCTCCTGCCCCCCGCCTGCTCGGCGGCGACCCCGAGTTACCGACGCTCTCCAACCAAAATCTTCACATGCGTGTGGCGCCGCTGGCGCAGGTGCGGTCCCGGCAATGTGACTGTTGAGCTGGCCAAGACGTATGTCCAGGTGGTGGGGGTGGACCCCAGCAAGGACCAGCTGGACCACGCAATACAGGTACTGCAGATACCGCTGCACCTGGCAGTGGCCTGCTGCTGCTGTGTGTGGCCTGCGCTCCTGCGGCGTGCTCCTGGGCCTCTGCTGCTCTGCTTGCCCCTGATTTCTGGCATCTGCGCCTGCCTTGCCACCATGTTTTGAAGCGCCACCATGATTGGAGTGGCCTTGCCAATGCCCTTGTCACTGCTGCTCTTGTCACTGCCACCGCGGTCAGTGCCGCCGCGGCTGTGCAGGGCCCCAACATCCGCTACGCTCAGGTGGCGGCTGAGTTCCTGGCGCACCACCTGCCGCCGCGGTCGGTGGACCTCATCGCCATGGCGGAGACGCTGCACTGGTGGGGGCAGGGGGGTGCGCCTGGGGGGCCGCTGTGTGTGTGTGTGTGGTGGTGGTGGTGGTGGTGGTGGTGGAGCACCGCCTCATCTAGTCCAGGGTTTGAGGCCACCTGCCTTGCTCCGTGCTCCTCCTCCCAGCTGCCTGCGCCTGACCCTTGCTGTCGCCGCCTGCAGGCTGGACCACCTGCGGTTCTACGAGCAAGCGAGGCTCATCCTGAAGCCCACCGGCTGCCTGGCCATCTGGTGCGGGGCGCAGGCATTGCCGGGCGGCCCACCCGCAAGGGAGGCCGCGGGCCAGCAGCCTTGGCACCGCCGCGCAAGGCGTCCGCCGCAGGCAGCCACCCCGCATGCCCACGGACGGCTGTTCTCCTCGCCCGGTTCTTTTTGGCTCGGCGCGCCGGATGCCGCCGCGCGCCGCTTACCGCCCCTGCTGCGCCCGGGCCCCGCTGCAGGTGCTACGACCTGGCCGAGTTTGAGCCCAACGAGGCGCACCCTGATGCGGAGGGAGCGGAGAAGGCCAATGCGCTAATGCGAGCCTACACCTATTCGGTGAGCATGTGGCTGTTGCGCTGGGTGGGGCTGTTGTACTGGGTGGGCAGGTGCACATCGCTGATATTGACGTGGTGGTGGCGGTGTGTTTGCGGCATGGTTGCGTGAAGCGCGTCGGCGCCTGTGTGGTTCTTTAAGGAGACAGGTTGTGCGGCGGGGATGCAGGCGCACGGGCTGTGTGCCTGCCGTCCCAGACCATCAGCCAGGCAGCCAGGCTATGGAGGCATGAGCCCGCCGCCGCGCCGCTGCCGCTGCCCCGCCGCAGGTGATTGGCCCCTTCTGGGACAACCGCCGCACCTACATCGACCGGCGGTACGCGGGGCTGGAGCCGCTGGCCTCCCAGTTCCGAGTGGTGGAGCGGGCAGACATGCGCATGGAGCATGTAAGGGATTGGGTGGCGGGAGAGTGTGTGTGCAGGGGGAAGGCGTGGTGGGGTGTGTGTGCAGGGGGGAGGGGTCAAAGGTGGATGGCAGGAGGGGGGGGGGGGAGAGGAAGCCCCACTTGACCGACCCACCCACCCACCAGCCACCTCCCCGTCGAGGTGCATGCAGATGTGGAGCATGGACCACTTTGTGGGCTTCCTGCGCAGCTGGAGCCCCTACGCCGCCTTCCGCAAGACCTACCCAGACAAGGAGGACCCGCTGGTGGACCTGCGGGCCCAGCTCAAGTGAGCCAGCTGGACCGCCGCCCTTGCTTTCGGGCTGCACTGTTTCAGGGGCTGGTGAGGCAGCTCGGCGGCCTCCGGCTGCTGCATGTGGGCTGGCTGTTGGGGGGCGGCGGCGGGCGGCCTGACGGCGTGGTGCCTTTGTACGCTGCTGCTCCCGCCGCTGCTGCAGCAAGCTGCTGGGCGTGACGGACGACGCTGCTGCGACGCTGCGGGTCACCTTCCCCGTCTTCCTCCTGCTCATCCGGGACCCGGTGCAGCCAGAGCTGCCGCCGCTGTAGCGCGCCCAGCGGGCTGCCCGCTGCGCCTGATGACAACGACTGATGACCCTGCTGTACCTGAATTGTTTCCCTCGGCTCCCAGTTGAATTCTTTTCTCGAATCAGTTTTAAATGTCTGTTTTCCTTGCGCAACTGCGCTGGAGTTGGCTGCAGCCATGGTGGAGCATCGGCGGGTGGCGGCAGCGGGCGCGGCGCGGCGCGGCAGCAACTGATCCAAGACTTTCGTCGTGTCGTCCTCTTCTCCATACGCCATTTGAAGCTCTCTGCTGCGGCTCTGGGCCTCTCCACACAGAGACACGCCTGGCCGATCGCGTTGCCTTTCCCGACCTTCGCTTCTGGCCCTAGTCGCTGCCCTGGCGGCACTCATGCAGCCGCGCCAATGCTGCAGCGGATATTCAGCAGCAGCAAGAACGGCAGCAGCGAGGAGGAGGCCCGGCCGGCCAGGGCCCCCAGTGAGTCGCAGCTGGGCGGGAGGATTGTCCGGCAAAGCACTCCTGCACGAGCAGCAGTTCCCGGTGGCTGCGGCTGCAACACCCCGCTGCTGCCGCCGCCGCCGCCGCTGCACGGTGGCCGCCGCCGCTCCAGCAGGGCCTGCCTGGCAGCCGTTGAGCCAGCTGCGTTCGTTTGGCGCAGGCCCCGTCAAGCCGTTGAAGCCCATGGAGCAGATGGTGGAGGTACAGCGGCAGGTGGAGAAGCTGAGGGGGTACTATGACCTGGCCAGGGTGAGAGGGTGTTGATAGTGGGGCGGTGTTTTGTTGATAGTGGGGCCCTGCTTGTGTAGAGCCCGCGGCTGCTGCAGGCGGGCCATATTCGTGTCACAGCAGGAGCTTAGGCCTTGAGGACAATAGAGCTGATCTCAAATTGCAAGAGATCTCGGGCCTTCAGATGCAATACAGCGCCCTTGTGGGAGCTTCGAAGCATTCCTTTGCTGCCCTGAAAACCCCTTCCGCTCCCAATGCGCCCGAATTCGCCCACCGCCCGTCACGCTGTGTGATGCAGGACGCTGTGGAGCGGGCGTACGCCAAGGACGTGGCGGGGCAGCACAGTGCTGCGGTACAGCTGTACCGCACCGCCCTCAACATCCTGCTGGAGGGGCTGGCCCTGGCGGTGCCCAGCATGGGGCTGGATGCCTCACATAGCAACACCGCCAGGTGGCGCTCTGATATGAACCAGTGGCAACAGGGCGTGCTGGATCGGCTGAGGGCCCTGGAGGGCCAGGGCGGACCGGCGGCGGCAGCAGCAGCCAGCAGCGGCGGCGGAGGCGGCGGCGGCGTGGCGGCGCGGTCGCCGCCGGCCAACCCGCTGCTGCGCTCGCAGCGCAGCGCGCCACGGCCGCGGCCGGCGGCGGCGTTGGCAGCGGCGGCGGCGGCGGCGGCAGCGGGTGTGCGGCCTGGGGGAGGGTCCAAAGAAGATAGGGACTTTGATGAGCGGGTGCTGAGCGAGGTGCTGGACAGCGCGCCCAGCGTGGCGTGGGATGACGTGGCGGGGCTGGCAGCTGCCAAGCAGGTGCGCGGGCGGCTCGTCCCCCGGGACTGGTGCTGACGAGGCGCCCCCGGCCGCGGCGGCGGCTGCTGGGTGCGCAAACAAAGGGGGCAAGCCAGCAGGCCTGGGGCGGCATACGCACACGTGCTGCAGACGTACAACACCGGCAGTGTTGGTACGCACACCGACGCACGGCTCCCATGCCGCTGCCCCATCTCCTGCAGGCCCTCCAGGAGATGGTGATCCTGCCCACCCTCAGGGCAGACCTGTTCCAGGGCCTGAGGGCCCCGGCGCGCGGCCTGCTGCTGTACGGGCCGCCCGGTGCAGTTCGGCCGCCCGCTGCGCGCAGCATGCCGTTGCTGCACGCGTGCTGGGCAGCCTGCCTGCCTGTCCCCGCTCTTTGTTCTGCCACCCATCCTCCCCTGCGTTTCGCCAACCAGCCCCGCCCGCCACCTCCCAGCCAACCCACCCCGCCCGCCCGCCCGCCTCCCTGCCAACCACCCCCATCGCTCGGCGCAGGCAACGGCAAGACGATGCTGGCAAAGGCGCTGGCGCACGAGGCGCGCGCCACCTTCTTCAACATCTCCGCCTCCTCCCTCACCTCGCGCTGGCACGGCGACGCGGAGAAGCTGGTGAGAAGCTGGCGGCGGCCCGGGGGCGGGCTGCGCGCATGCAGGAGACAGGAGGGAAGATTCTGCTGCTGCTGCTGCTGCTGCTGCTACTGCTGGAGATGGCGGCGGCGGCAGTGGTGGTGGTGGTGATGTGTGGGCGAGCGTTGTCATCATGATGACCGGGGGAGGAACGCAGGGAGGGCACGGGTGCTCAGGCCCGGCGCGTGCCTGCCGCCGCCCGCCTTCCCGCGCAGGTGCGTGCGCTGTTCCGTGTGGCGGCGCGCAACCAGCCCTCAGTCATCTTTATTGGTGAGGGGAGGAGGCGGGGGATGGGCCTGGTGCCAGCAGCCATGTGCCGCTCAGCTCCCCGTGCCGCATCTTCGCACACGCACGCGCCGCTGCTCCCCTCTGGCACCCGCCTGCAGCCCGCCTGCCTGCCTGCCTGCCTGCCTGCCTCACCCGCCGCGCCGTCACTCTCCCTCCTCTATTCACCTTTTCATTGAACTGTGCCTGCCCGCCTGCCTGCCTGCCCGCACACCACCCGCCTGCCGCAGACGAGATTGACAGCATCCTGTCGGAGCGATCCTCCTCGGAGCACGAGGCCAGCCGCCGCCTGAAGACGGAGTTTCTGGTGCAGGTGGGGCGCCACGGCCTGCTGCCCTCCCCCAAATGCCCCCAGGCTGCTGAAAGTATCGGCCGTTGCCACCCTGTCTGGCGCCCTGTCTGGGCGCAGCGCCAGCCGGCGGGCCGCAGGGTGGGCCTGGGTCGGCTGCCCCGCTGCGCCTGCCCACCTCCCTGGTTGGCGGCTGCCTGGTGCGGCTCCTGGGAGCACTGCCCCACTGCCTGCCCGCCCGGCTCCCAGCCCCCCCCGGGTTCGCCATCTCAACAGGCTGCCCTGCCCTGCCCTGCCCTGCCCTGGGCCCGCAGTTTGACGGCGTGGCCAGCAGCTCGGACCGCGTGGTCGTCATCGGCGCCACCAACCGGCCCTGGGAGCTGGATGACGCGGTGAGCTGGGACGGGGAGGGTGCTTTCCTCTTTGGAAGGAAGACTTGTTTTTAATTATTGGGCTTGACGTTGATGGGTGGACGGCGGCGCCGCTCCTGGGCGGCGCTGCTGGGGCTTTCGCTGGCACGGCAGGCGTGGGCCCCCCGCTGCGGCCAGCGTAAGCCCAACCCCTGGCGGTGCAGGTGCGGCGGCGGCTGCCCAAGCGGGTGTACGTGCCGCTGCCGGATGCGGCGGGGCGGCGCGCCATGGTGCAACACCTGCTCCGCGGCCAGCGCCACCAGCTGAGCAGCAGGGATCTTGAGCGGGTGGTGGCGGGCACAGGCGCGCTGGCACACGCTGCTGCTGGGGGGGTGCCCAACCGCCGCCTCTGGCGCCCTGCCTCTGCCCGTCCCGCCGACGGCTGCGTCGGTGCTGCTGCGCGCAGCGCAGCGCTGCGCAGCGCTGCCCTGCCCCCTTGACCCGCTGCTGCCCCGCCGCCGCCTCGTCGCCGCCTCGGCCTTCCTGCCGTTTCCGCCGCGTTCCCCCCACCGCGCCCTCGTCCCCGGCCTGCCGGCGCAGATGGGTACAGCGGCAGCGACCTGGCGGCGCTGTGCAAGGAGGCGGCCATGGTGTCTATCCGAGAGCTGGGCGCCGCCATTGCCACCGCCCCCGTCGACTCGGTGCGCCTCTTGACAGCGCAGGCCGGCCCTGCTCAGGGCTGTGCGCACGCTCGTGGCCCGCCCTTGCCGATGCGCTTGTGCTGCACGAATGGAGGCCTCTGGCTTGGTGTGGCCCCGCCGAAAAAAACGGTTCGGATGGGTGGTGCCCGCAGGTGCGCCACATCAGCATGGCCGACTTTGTGACGGCGGTGGGCGCCATCAAGCCCTCGGTCAGCCGAGAGCAGCTGCGGCGGTTTGAGGAGTGGACCAGGGACTACGGCATGGCCTCCTGACTAAGCTGATGGGCTGACTAAGCTGATGGGCTGCGGCGGCCGGCCACCAAAAGTGGCGGCGCTCGTGCACGGCGGGCGCCACGCAGCGGCAGCAGCGGCATGCGGCCCGTGCTCCTGCACCGGGCATTGGCTCCCCACCCGCCGCCACCAGTTGTTCCTATTCCACCCTCGGATTGGCTTACTGGCCTGGCTCTGCGTGCCGCCAGGGCTGTCGTAGCCTGGCCGCGCTGACGTGGCCGGGCGGGCCGCTGAGGTGATCCATTTGTACTTCACGCCCGCTCCCGCGTGCCATAAACCAGTGCACATTGGCGGTGCCAGACACAAAGCTGGCAGCATGAGTGGCAGCGGCGGGCCCAGGCCCCCCAACGTGTTCTCCTTTCTCAATGGAGTGTTCAACGAGCCGTTCTTTCAGGGTTTCAGTAGCTGGGGCGGCTTCGACAGCCATTTCGACGGCAGGAGGCAGGTGGGTGCCAAACCGCGTGATCACATCCCCATGGTTGTTCTAGAGGGTCAGCGGGCCTCCCGCTTTCGGGCAGCCCCCTGAAGGCTGCGGCGGGCATCTCACAGGGGTTCTGCAGCGGTGTCGAGCGCTCCAAGGCACGCCCGACACCGCCTTTGCTACCCCACCACGGTGCCGCTCCGCCGCCACGCTGCCCATGCAGACCGGCAGCAGCACGGCGAGGGAGATCCCCATAGAGGGCCCCGATGACGACATACCCACCGCGCAGCACAGGCGCGTGGCTGGAACGCTGCGCCCCGAGGGAGCCCACACTCCTGCTGTGCCTGCGCCTCGCAGTCACCCACCCGCCAACCGACGCGGCCGCCACGTGCACGCCACCCCTGCTGGTCCTCCCGCCTGGGCCCACTGCTGCAGGCTGACGGGCCCAGTCATCCACGAGCTGCCCGACCACGAGCACCACCTGCACAGCCACCTGTACCTCAACAGCAGCCAGCCCGACAGCGTGGAGGAGCCGGAAGGTGAGAGCCGTGGGGAAGCTATACAGCTCGCCGCCCCTGCTTCATTGGAAGGGGCCTCCGGTGCACCTTGCTGTTTCTGCAGCCTCCAGTGCGGGTGGCTGATCCGGCAGATCCAAAAGAGGCAGTCACTAGCTTTTGCCCAAGCTTCCCGTGCAGATGAATCGCACAATGTGCCCCGCAGCCACCACCACCACCAGCAGCGCCAGCAGCCCGCCGGCGTGTCTCTGCCTCCGCCGCCGCCGCCGCCAGCAGCGGACCAGGGGCCGCCCCTGGCTGCAGCATCCCGCGCCCAGCAGTCGCAGCAGGGCTCGCCCCTCAGGGCGCCGGCGGCGATCAGGGTGCAGGCCAGCCCTGCCGCTCGCGCGCGGCCTGGCGCTGCAGCAGAGCCAGAGGAGCCTGGCTCGCCCCTGCTGGTACATGTGGAGGAGGGAATGCTGCATGGCGACACCCCCCGCCACAATGCCAGTGCAGCAGCAGGCCCGCTGCCAGACTGGCTGACAGGCGACGAGAGCGACCCTGCCACCATGCAGTGGCAGCCTGCCTCCCAGCAGCAGCAGGGGGCGGGCCTGGATGTGCGCACCCCCGCGGGCCAGCCCTCTGCGGCAGGCGCTTCGCCCGATGCGCCGGCAGCCGCGGCGGCCTCGCGCGCGCCTGCCTGGCCAGGCAGCGCTGGCAGAGGCGCCGACGCGGGGCGAGCAACCGCCGAGGCGCCACCTGTTGGCATCAGGCACCGCACCAGGTGCGGGATGGGGGGTGGCTGCTGCTTGCTGTTGTCTGCTGCTGCGTGCTGCATGCTGCTGCTGCTGCCGCTGCTGCTTCCATAAGGGAGCAGTTGTGGCGACAGTTGGGGAGCCGCCAGCTGAGCGCAGCCGTGCTCTGGACCCACCATGGTGCAGGCGCCTGTGGCAGCTGCTGCTGCCAGGGCTGCGCCGTTGCCTGCTGCTGCTCGTGCCATGCTGGCGGGGTGGCGGGCGGGGCGGGCAGGCAGGGAGACTGGGCCACTAGCTGCAAGGCAACTCCGCTCAGCAGCATGCCTTCCCTGCTCTTGCTCCCCCTGCCCAGCAGGCACCCATCAAAGCCGTGAGTGGGTGAGGGCTGCTGATCGCTGGCCCCCGCCCTCCCCACCGCTGCACTCACACTGTGCTGTTGTGTGCTGCTGCCGGCAGGGCGCCGACAGACGCTGATGACGGCGGCGGCGGCGATGGCGGCGGCAGCAGCACCGCAGAAGCTGGCAGGCGGCAGCGCAAGCCCAGCCCCCGATATGAGGCGCTGCAGCAGGCGGCCGCCACTGCCAGCGCGGCGCCCCACCCGCGCCAGCGCCGCGCGCCGGCAGCGCGCCCAGCAGCAGCAGCGGCGGCCCCTGCCGCAGAACCGGCACCGCGCCAGCGGATGGCCCGCAAGCGGCGGCGGGGCAGCAGTGCCAGCTTGGATTCTGTTGATGATGGTGATGATGAGGAGGAGGCTGGTCAGCACGCTGATGCAGAGGTGCTAGGCGAGGACCCCGACTGGCGCCCTTTTAAGCACAGCGCCAAGGCCATGCCATCAAAGCCGCCGCCCGCAAAGCGCCGCAGGCGCAGCGCCGGGTCTCACAGAACGTGACCGCCGCGTGTATGCCGTGAACGCAATTGATAGCTTGTTTGTGCCACGAGTAGCTCAGCTTGCAAGCGAGTGCCTTGCCTCTGTTTCCATCATGTTGTCAAAGCATGACCCTGGTGCAAAACTCTGCTTGTTGTGACTTGGAGGCAAGCTGGGGGCGGCGACCACAGCGGGCGCGCCGCGCAAGCGGCAGAGGGTGGCGGCGCTGTCGGGTGTTGGCGCCGCCACCGGCGGCAGCGTCCTGCTTCCTCCGGGCACTCTCAGGATGCCGGCGTGCCCAATTGACGACTGGGTCGTGTGTGTAGAGCAAATGCAGCCTGCCCACCGCCGCGGCGGCAGGGGTAGAAAGGTGGAGGCGCGTTGGCGGGGCTGAAACCAGCCCTGATGCCTCGTTCCACATTCTTACGTACCCTCCTGTTGCAATTGCGTTGTCCCAGCATTGTGCCACTGCCCTCCGACACACAGACTTAACACCGCCTCCAAACGACGATGGCGCGCAGGCACCTGGCCCTGCTGCTGGGTCTAGGCCTCCTGGCCGCGTGTGCCGCCTCCACAGGCAAGTCAGTGCCCGCGGGAAGGGAACGCCGGCTGCGATGCGCCAATTGGTCGCCCAACCAAATCGGCATTTGGCGCCCGACACGGTGGCGGGTCCTCAGCGGCAGCCCGGGCCGACAGGCTTGGCCGTGGGAGCGCGATGCGGCGGGAAACGGGGCGCCTGCAGCCCGCTACGGGGCGAGTGGCAGCGGCGGTCCCCGCCGCCATCGACCATTGCAGTTGCAGCGGCTGCTGACCTCCCCAGGGCCTGCCTTTCCCACCTGCCCGCCATGCCTGCAGTTGAAGAAGAGTTCTCCACGGAGGAGCTGGTGAGTGGAATCGGTTCCCACTCCCGCTGCACCTGTCCCGGGCTGTCGCCCCTGTCTGTCAAAAACTGGCAGCTGCCACGCACCCCTCCCCCTGCAGTTCACCTCCACGTTCAAGGCCGTCGCCCAGTCGATGCCGGCAGCATGGAGCTCCACCTACGGCGCCCAGCGCACCCGCGGCGGCTACTACGGCGGCGGTTATGGCGGCGGCGGCTCAGGTCCGTTCCCTGGCTATGGCTCCCCCGTGCCGCCCGTCTGGCCGTCGCCGCCTGGCTATGGCTCCCCACCGCCCGTGCCGCCGTCGCCGCCTCCAAATGGCGGTGAGCCTGGGTTGCCAGGCTGGGCCCTGCTTCAGCTTTGTGGTCAGCGTGTGACCCGCTTGCACTCGCTCTACCTGTCTGCAGGACACCCAAGCCCCAGCCCAAGCCCCAGCCCTCCCGTTGACAATCCCCAGAGCCCCTCACCTTCTCCATCTCCCAGCCCCTCGCCCTCACCCAGCCCATCGCCATCCCCGTCGTCTCCAGAGCAGAGCCCCCAGCAGAGCCCGCAGGAGAACCCCCAGCAGAGCCCCCAGCAGAGCCCCGCCCAGAGCCCCAGCGAGAGCCCCGGCGTGGAGATTAAGGACCTCAACGCCTCCCTGTGCACTGGCGTCGCGTATGATGGTAAGCGGGTCGGCGGGCGCACTGCCCGGCCATGCCTTTGCATGCCGCCTCCCGGCCTGTCCGACCAGCCTGTGCTGCGCAACGCACAGGGCACTGCCTCATCCCAGCCTACCGCGCCCTGCTGCTGTGCACCCCCCTGGCGCAGGCTACCTCACGCGCTGCTCCCTGTGGAGCGACAGCAACGGCGACGGCCTGTTTGAGGACGGCGAGCCCATCGTGACCGTGACTGGCGGCCAATGGGCCTTTGCCTCCACCGCCACCGCCAGCACCCTGGGCGTGCTGCACCTGGCCACCGCCGACGAGGCGACCACCACGGTGGGTGGATGAGACGGGATGGCAGAGAGTACGGCTGTTCGGCGTGTGAATGTGCATGTGATTTTGGTGCCCGCTGGCCTTCCACTTGACACCTGCCCTCCTGCCCTCCTGCCGCCCTCCTGCCATGTGCAGGTCGCCGCCGGCAGCGCCGGCTGCCACGACGCCACCTCCCTGCTCGCCGTGCACTTCCCCTTTGCCGCCCCCAAGCCCGCCTCCTGCGACGCGCCCCTGGTTGTCTTCCCGCTCACCTCGCTGCTGGCGCACGGCAGCCAGTCTGGCATCAGCCTGCCCGCCCTGCTGGACGCCCTGCAGCTTCCCGTCGGCTACCCGCTGCTCACCGCTGACTCCCTGGCGGTGCGTGTGGCGCGGTACAGGCTGGCAGTCAGTGCAGCCGGCGGTGGAGCCTGTGCCAGCCTCCGCAGAGTGCATGTACTGCATTGCTGTGCCCTCCTCCATGCACCCCTGGACCTCACGCACTACGCGCCGCCCTGTCCCATGCCTTGATGTGCCCGCAGGCATCGCAGGCCGGCGATGACGCAGGCAAGAAGGTGTACCGCCGTGAGGTACAGGTGGCCCAGCTGGCCCTTGTGGCCGCCAAGCTGCTCACCAAGAACAGCGCCTACCTGCCCCCGGCCCGCAAGGCGCTGCTCAAGGCGCTGGCCGGCCAGATCATGGGCGGCGGTGGGCGCCGCCGCCTGCTGACCGCCGACGCCGCCTCGGTGCAAGCCGTCGTCGGTGAGCTGCGTGTGCTGGGGTGTGTGCCAGGGGCCAGCCAGCTGGCAGTCGGGACCTGGTGTGTGCTGCGCTTGCGAGCCCAACACCTCCCACACCTGCCCTGCCCTGCGCTGTGCTGCTGCCTCCCTGCCAGGCACCGTCTGCTGAGCTCCAGGTATTTCCCTGGTCCCCACCCGCCCTGCAGACCTCACCCAGGGCGCCGCCATCCAGTCGCTGCTGGCCGCCGCCAACGCCATCGCCGCCGCCACGGTGCCCGCCGACCAGCTGGCGGTGGTCGGCGCCGACGTGCTGGCGGCGGTCGCCAACGCCATTGCCGCTCTCAACTCCATCATTGAGAACAGTACCGACGTGGAGATGATACAGAAGGTGCGGGCTCCGTCAGAGGGGAGGCGGCAAGGACGGCCCGGCGCTGCCGCGGAAGTCGAGCGGGCACTGCGGAGCCGGCCAGTCGCGACCCGCCTGCCCGGCCCGACGCTCCGTGCCGCCGTCCTCTGTCATCCTGCGTGCAGGCCGCCGTGGTGGGCGAGACGGTGCTGGCCTCCAAGGTCTCTGCCCTGGTCTCTGGCCAGATCAGCGTGTCGCAGTTCCAGGCCGCCACCTCCCCCAGCGCGCTGCAGAATGCGGCGCAGCAGGTCACCCTGCCCGGCGCGCCCTCGGAGCAGCGGAAGAGCAACGCGGTGGCGCTGGGCGTGGGGCTGGGCATCGGCCTGGGCGTCCCGTTGATTGCCGGCGCCGGCTTTGCCTACTGGTACCTGGTGGTGAGGAAGGGCGGCAGCGGCGCCGGCAGCGGCCTGCACGAGGGCATGTTGTGATGCGCGGCACCGACAGCAGCGGCAGCGGCCCTCCCTCCTGAATGCGCTCTGCAAAGGATGCGCTTGTTTGCTAGCGATTGTTTGAACATGGCCATCCGCGTTTCTGGTTTCCACTTGATCCCTCCTCTGTAACAAAGAATTGTTGTTCCGATCTTGCTGACCGCCGGGGTAATCAAGGAGCTGGCTTATTCTTGGCAAGCTATCCTGTGGGCATCCTACGGGGGCTTGCTGGGCTTTACAAAGCAGGATTGAAATATTGAAAGGATGTACTGTGTGAAAATACCATGAAGAAAGCACTTGCGAGTCGCGCGCACCAGTGACGCATGCAGGGCCCCCGGCCCTGCGCCCGCGTTGCCATGCCCCCAACAGGTGCACTTGGCGCGGGGCAGCAGCCCCAGCCGCAGGGTGCAGAAACTCGGTCCGACGACCTACCCCCCCAACAGCATCCGTCACCACCACAGAGACACAGAGATCAACATGACGTGCCGCACAGGCGGGCACGCCGGCGGCCACGGCAGCGGCTGCTTCGCGGCAGCTGCCGCCGCCTGCAGCTCACATGGCCGCCGGGTAGGCCAGGCCTGCGGGCCCGCCTGCCTGCTGCTGCTCGCCGCCGCCGGGCTGGACCCAGGGCTCGTGCAGGCCCACGCTGGCGCCGCCGGGCCGCGCGCCGCGCCGGGTGCGCCTGCGCCGCACGGCCACCAGGAACACCAGCAGGGCCACGACGGGCAGGCCCAGGCCCAGGCCCAGCCCCAGCCCCAGCCCCAGCCGCAGCGCCTGGTCGTCCTGAGTCTGGCCCTGCAGCTGGCTCTCCGGGATGAGGATGCCGGGCAGGGTGGCCCCCTCGATCTCCTCCCTCACGCTGGCAATGTCGGTAGCCTCCTGGAACTCGGTTGCCGTGATCTGGCCAGACACCAGCGCATCCACCTGCTCCGCCACCAGCGTCTGGGCGACCTGCGGAGAGGCGGCAGGGGGCAGGCGGCGGGACGGGTGGCGAGGGCAATGGCGCCGCGGGCTCGAGCGGGAGCAGCAGCAGGCAGCTGGCAGCTGGCGGCTGCTGCACCCTGCCGTGCCCTGCCCTCTTAAGAAGCTTCCCTGCCCCTCACCAGCATCGCCCTCTGCATGTACTCCACTGTGGGCGCCGCCGCCACCACCTCGTTCCACACCGCCAGCGCGTTGGCGGCAGCCTGCAGGCGGCGGGCAGAGGCAGGTGCCCGGTCGTGGGCCGGGAGCACGGGCGGGCTGTGCCATGCATGAATTGCGCCCGGCAGACGAGGTCAATCAGGCGCCACGGCGGCAGTCTGCCTGCCCAGCCTCCCACCTGCCTGCCTGCCTACCTTCCCCACCCGGCCGTGCCCCGACCCGCCCCACCCCATCCCGCCCCCACACCCTCCGCTCCAGCCCTCTTTCCCACAGCCCCTCTCTTTCCCCCCTCCTCCTCCCACCGCCCCTTCCTCTCCACACAGCCCACCTGCAGCACTTGGGCGGAGATGGCGACGAGCTCTCCCGGCGGCGCCTGCGCCTGCACCTCCTCCAGCAGGCTCAGCACGGTGGCTGGGTCGGACAGGTCAAACAGGCCGTCCCCCACTTGGCGCAGCGCGCGGCCCGCGGCGGGCGCGGAGCGCGCCCAGCGGCCCATGCGCGCGCCCAGCTGGGCAAACACGCGGCGCGCGATGGCGTGGTAGGAGGACGCGTTGCCGCGCTGCGCCAGCAGCACGCCGCCGTTGAACACGATCTGTTTCACCATGAGCTCAGCCTGGTGCACGCGCTTGGCGCCAGGCACCCCCGTGGCGGCGCCCTGCGCGCGGGGCAGGCAGGGGCAAGCTTCTTGTGGCGACTGTTGCACATGTGTGCGTGTGTGTGTCGGTCGGTTTGTGGTGGGTGGTGGGTGGGCCAGGGGTAGGCAGGAGGGGCCGACAGAGGAGCGGAGCTTGGTGGAGGCACCCAGGGTGAGCTGCCGGGCTGCCATTGCAGGCAGCAGGCAGCAGCAGCTCAAGCTGGCAGCCCCCGCGGCGGCGGCTGCCGCGGAACAGGCTCACCAGCAGCGCGTCCTGCCTGCCGATCGACCAGGTGGAGGGCAGGCCCAGGGCGCTCTTCAGCTCCTCCTCGCTCACCTCCTGCAACGCCGGCAGCAGCGGTGGGAGAGGCTTCAGGCGCCGGCGGCGGCAGCGGCAGCTGGGCGGGCGGCAGCGGGAGCCGCAGCTGGACCTGACGCATGCCAAATCGGCTGATCCAGCCGCCGGTCCTGCCGGCTCTGCCGCGGCTCCCGACCGCCAGCCATCCACACCACAGCACGGCACAGCATGGCGCAGCATGGCACAGCACAGCATGGCACAGCACAGCGCACCTGCGCGGCGTACACCAGCACAGTGGTCAGCGGGGTGACGGCGATGGTGTGGTTGCAGCTGGCGGGCCGCGGCGCTGCCAGCTGCACGTGCTCTGGCAGCAGGGTGACGATGTCGTGGCAGGCAGAGGTGACCCCGGCGGTGGCCAGCTGCAGGGGCAGGCGGCAGGGGCGGTGCCAGAACGCGGGTGGAGGGCAGGATGGGAGGCGCAGCTGGATGGAAGGAGGTGGGCGGCACCGCAGAGACCGGAGCAGAGCAGCCACGCGCCACCACAGCATGGCTGGCAGCAGGGGTGAAGCCCCGGAGCGTCGCAGCGGCGGCCGGCGGCGCGCACCCGTCTGCCGGCAGGGGAGGTGCGGGGCGCGGGCACGATGCGCACGGTTGCCAGCTGGGCGGCGGTGACGCCCTGCAGGGCGAAGCTGCCGTTGACGACGGTGCCCGAGGCCTCGGAGGAGGCCTGCAGCTCAGAGTCGCCGCTGGCATCAAAGTAGATGGTACAGGCGGAGAGGTAGCCGTCATACGCCACGCCTGCAGCGGCAGGAGCAGGGGCAGGGGCAGGCGACGGGGTCAGGAGGCAGCGGGGCAGGTGGTGAGGCAGGGCGGGTGGGAGGTGAGGCGAGGTGAGGGTGGAGGAGGGCTGGGATGCCGCGGCGCAGCGGCGAGGGCGTTAATGCGAGCAGGAGCAGCGGCGCCGGCAGCGGCAGCGGCAGGAAAGGCAGCGGCAGCGGCATGGGAGAGTGGCGCACCGCGGCAGATGGAAGTGGAGCCAGAAGGAGACGGGGAGGATGAGGGAGAGGGG